TCAATTTCTGTCCATCTAGAATATTCATGGCTTAGCTGCTTTTATTGTTAAAGCCTCACAAAGCTGTAAACAAGGCATCAGCCATGATAAGTTCCTTTCTAGAGTTTAAGAACCTCTCTCAAAATGTCATTTGAAATCATTCACAGATTTTTCTCCCTGCTATCAGAGAACTAAAGGCACCATTTCTTGCTGGCCATTAGTGGAAACTGGTTCATCTCTCATTCTCTTCTGCTCAGATTCTTTTGAAACAAGTCCCCAGAACTATCAAAATATTTTGCTGTATTATCTTTGGTTGAAGCAAGTCAAGTACTCCAACCATGGATAAGAAAAGATAATATAAGAATACAATTGATGGAAGAACAGACCAGTGTGTCTACCACATCAAGCAGCCACTATTTGTACTAAAAGAATTCATTCTGGCCTCGTTTTACATACTGTTAAAGCTTTCTGTTTATATAGGTGGAATTTACCCCCAAATGTTTCAAACTATTAACATATTGAGAGAAATCCTGTGTGAATCAGCATGTTTTCATAACACCACTCCTCTACTCATCAAATGAGTATTAGATAGTTAAAGTTAAAGACTATGTTGAAGCATTGCGTTATAGTTATCTCCCTTTGACTATATCAAATATCCTTTTTAGGGCAATTTTTTTTCCTTCACTATTTCACTTTACTTTCGCTACAGAATTCATGTATATATTTATTTGTAATTGTTTTTCTACTTAGGGATCATATTTCTTTACTATAATTCCCATAATTATTTTTCATAATTTCCTATAAAATAGGAAAAGAACAAAAACTTGAATAGTTAGGCAATAGGAAGAGTTGGGTAGGGTGAAGTTCAGATTCAATAGTTTCACTGAAGCTCCAGTTATCAGAAGGTTAGATGTAGGTCTGAGGGTCAAATAGACATATTGAAAGATAGAAGATTATGAAACAGATAAAAGTAAGAAAACTTAAATATCATATACTATTTTTTAAATGACTATTTCTACTACAAGTCTGAAGAAGTTGAGAAAACACACATATATATTTTATGGTTAATTTTGTCAAATTTATTGGCATGGGCAATATAAAAGTATGTCCTTCTGGTGTGTCTTGATCCCTTGCAGTCTGCATTGGGATGCTGGTCTCTTTCTTTCCCTCATTATTTCACTGGACTGCATCTACTGCTATGAACTAAGCACCTGTGTCCATTCCCTGTACAGTGATATTTCCGCCATGTAGCTGGTACACTGTGGATTGAATTCCCTGAAATCATGAACCAAAACAGACCTCTCCCCTTTTAAATTTTGGATTAAATATTGCATCATAATAAGCAGACTAATATAATACATACCTCTTAAATTAATTCTAATCTTTTCTGAATAATGATAGATATACTTTAAAGAAATATTAGCCTGATTAACTGTACTCCACAATTCTCTCATTTATGGTTTGATATGTCTGATATTTATTTTTAATCTAATCCTTAAATATTTCCTTTCTATATAACATAATTATGATGATTCCTTATGTAGTTAGATAGTTATATGAGGTTGGTTTTTCTTATTTATGATGCTTCTGATTCTTTACATTTGTTCTTTCTTACTGGCCTCTAGTTTTGCTGTTGAAAAGCTTATGACTAGAGCAAATATTGTACTTTTTAGGGCAATCCTTTTTGTTTCCTTCACTATTTTGTTTTACTTTTGCTACAGAATCCATGTGGATAATTATTTGTTATTATTTTTCTACTTTCTAATTAAATTTCTTTAATATAATTCCCATAATTATTTTTTGTAAAACCTAGATCATTATTTCTGATTATTTTTATACCATTGTAACTCCATTCTATAAATTCAATCTCTTAGTATTTTCCATATTTTTATGAACTATACTCTGTAGTATGTATTTTAATCTTTCTTCTATCAAAATTATATGCAATTTTCCTTATTTAGAAATTATTCTGTTTTGTTATAATGTATTCTTATTTCCTTGATTTCTCTTTTTCTTTTTTTATAGTGCTCATACTAAGTAGGAATTTATGATATTCTTAGGCAAATCCTGTTCTCAACTTGAGGAAATTCTCAACTAGTTTCAGGGGAAATGGAGTGGAGAAGCTTCCTGGGTCTTGATGAGTTAGTACATTGTCTTTTCTTTTCTAAGGCTTATAGCTATTTCTAGAGTCCAGCTTTGTGTAAACATATTCTGAGATAGGCCTTGACTCCATCCATATGTGTGCCCTGGAGACTCAAACCCAAATTTGGCAAAGTCCTGGGTCTTCTTGCCTTTCTTTCCTTTCTATTCAACCCCATCCAGCAGAACCAGGTCCTTGAAACTCTGGTTTCAATATCTTCCTCGTTTTAGCACTTTGAGATTTACTTTTTTACTATTTAAAATAGTTTTATTATACTCAACCATATATTTTAAGATATCTGTACCAGTACTATATTTAGATTATCATAATGGGATTTTCTGTATTTTTTCTCATTAAAAACACAGTAAATTTAATTTATATTTCAGATCGCTTTATTATCCATGATTGCTGGAGAGTTGTTTCCATTCACTATATATTGTTGTTTCCATTCACTTTTAACTTTGGTGTATTTCCTCTGGTGCTGTGTCAGCTCCTCCAGCCATCCCTTCAGCTAGAATTGGTATAAAGATTCTCATACTGCATGACTTAGAGTTTGGCCCTAGAGTTTGCTAATGAATTCTGATCTATGAGAGTACCATATATTTCAATAATTCATGATGATTTTTATTTAATTTATTAACTCAATATATTTTTGTTTTTAGTGAGTTTAGCTTTCCATACCCAGATGTAGGTTAGGCCTGATGCACCTTAATTAGGACTTAAGCTCAATCCTGTCTTAATGATGAGAGTATGTTTCTGTCACATTGTAGTCTAATGTTGTTATTGTAGTTGTTACCACTATTGTTGTTTTTAAGCCTTTGTGAGGGAAGATTATACCCTATCCCTCATTTTATATAGGTATTTCTTGAAGATTGCTCTTTCTTATAGATCACACACTCGAGGTAAATGGCATTTATAACGTCCTTTGTTTCTTTTGACTTTAATTCCAATTTATTACTATGGCTTGGAAGTCTACCATAATCATTGGCATGGTGGAAGTTCTGCTTTATTCTGAGATTGTCTGCATATTATAAATATTTTTTGGTATATTCAATTCACCATGTATGCATTAGTCCATCTTTTTTTTTTTTTTTTTTTTTTTTTACAATACAAAGTGCCATACATTAGGTCAGCTATTACCAATAGAATTTTATTTGGTTCACAATTATGGAAGGTTATAAAGTCCTAGATCAAAGGTTTACATATAGTGAGGATCTTATTGTCATAACCCATAGCAAGGCATCATATAAAGAAAGACTAAAAGGAAAAGAGAGAGAGAGAGAGAGAGAGAGAGAGAGAGAGAGAGACAGAGACAGAGACAGAGACAGAGACAGAGACAGAGACAGAGACAGAGAAAAAGAAAGTTTGAGGGCAAAAGGAAGCAGAATTACTTCCTTTTAGAATTAATTTACTCCTTTTAAAACATTCATTTTAAAGCTACAAATTTGGGCAGTGTACTATAGTCAAACCTGAGGCCTTTACAATGAATTATATTTGCAATCTCATTTATGAGGCAGGGTCTTTTTAAATCATTAAGTTGCCTGTGCTATTCTCAAACTTGCAATTCTCCATCAGCCTCCTGGAGTGCTATGACTACAGAAATATGCCACTATGCCTGACTAAAGTCCACTTAGCACTGTTCAAAAATAATTAAATGTCAGCATGATTTTAACATTCACATCATAGCATTACATAGGAACATTGAGGGAGGGAGAGGCTTATCGGTCACTTTGTTTACGTTCTAACTAGAAATCTAAAGGTAGTGAGTAAGAAAAAGTGAAGAAGCAATGAAGGGGACTCCTTCTTCCAAGCTGTCTGTTGTAAGTAATGGGAGTTCATCTAACATTCAACATTCCATAACATCTCACAAGTATCCAAACCCAAAGGCCCAGAATCTCCATATTAGCAGAGTTATTGAAATACTTTAAAAACAAAGAGAACAAGGTGAACTATTATTTTTTTTCAAGAAAGACTATTTCCTGGGTGAGCTGATATAACTGAATAAATTATCCAGATCTAAAGATGAGTGGGGAATAGAGATTCTAATAGTGTGGCTGTACTATGAAAATAAGAAACCAGGAAACTTTTGGCATCTACATAGTGAAAGAGAAGATTGGAAGAAAAAAGACAGTCAGTTTCTCTAAAAATCTTTTCTTAGGAATAGTGATATTATGAAATGTTGGAATACAAGCACAGATATGGAGTAAAGTCATTATTAGGTTGCTAGTGAATACAATCAAAGAAAGATGGTTATTTCTTTAACAAATATATTACAAATGTTTTCTTACAACAGTAAAATAAGAGGTATAGTAATTCTAGAAACCTGCCTTGGAACTTCCACATGGAAACTACCTTTCAAACAAAGGAAAAAGTAAGCTTCACAGGGAAGAGATAACAAGAGGAACTTGATGAAAATTTTCTCTGAACATAGTGAAATTAAACTAGAAATCAATAAATGAATGTAAGTTTCAAAGAATGAGGCACATTTATAGGAAGACTTCTGAACCCAGAAGAATAAAGTTTATGTTATTTTAAATACTAAGTAAGGAGAAAGTTAGAAGACATATCAAAACTTATTAAATATATTTCAATTTCAAATGAAATGCATATAATAGAAATGTGGAAAAATGCAAATCAAAGATCCAACCTGAATTTCAGGAGTCACAGTAGAGACTGGGAATGGAGGTACACACCTATAATCCCAGCTCTTGGGAGGCTGTAAACAGTCAGATCACTACAAGTCCGATCTAGTAGTGAGACACTGAACATCCTGTAGACCTTTCCCTAAAATACAAATAAATAAATAATAATAAGGTCAAATTGAAACACCAAAATGGAAGAAAAGAAATTTAAAAATGTAAGCAATATATCATAATAAATAGTGCTCGCTTTGGCAGCATATATACTAAAATTGGAATGATACAAAGATTAGCATGGCCACTGTGCAAGGATGACATGCAAATTCATGAAACGTTCCATATTTTTAAGAATTTCATGATGACAAAGCCAACCCTACACAGATGACTAAAAGATGTTCTATAGAGGGACCAAAAAATCATAACTGCAAGAACAAGAACAGAAGGAACCCACTGAATATGGCAAACAACTAACTACGGGAGAAAAAGTAAACATCAGCAGGTAAATAACATGTCAGTTGTAAGTCAATACATCTCAATTATAACTATCAATGTAACTGGACTCAATCCACCAATGAAAAGAAATAGACTGGCACAGTAGATTAGGAAACAAAATCCAATATGCTAAACAAATCTTGTATATGCTATATACAAGAAACACAATTAACTCATAAAGAAATTCATAGGCTTCAAGTCAAAGGATGGAAAACAATACTACATGCCACAGGGACTCAGAAAAAGCAAGGGTAGCAATCTTGTTCTCAAACAGTCTCAACTTCAAACCAAGAATGATCAAATGAAATAAAGAAAGCCAGTATATACTGGTTAGGAGAAAAATACAAGAGAAAGAGGTAACACTCATAAATATGTATGCACCAAACACAGGAGCACCCAACTATATAAGACAAATCTTAATGGACATGAAAAATCTAATATCCAATACCACAATCTTAACAAGAGACCTTAACACCCCCTTATCTCAAAAAGATTGGCCAACCAGACAGGAAGTTATCAAAGTAGCCGAACTGAATCGGAGCTTGCAACAAATGGACTTGGTGGACATATACAGAGTGCTCCACCCAACCACAGTTGCATACAGATTTTTTTCATAGGTCATTTTCTAAAATAGACCACATATTGATTCACAGATGGTGCTTAAGTATATGCAAGAAAAAAGAAATCATTCCATGCACATTATCTGACGACAGTGTAATGAAACTTGAAATAAACGACAAACAAAACCAGAAAAACCCAATAAATATATGGAAATTAAACAATACCCTACTCAGCAACCAATGGGTCACAGATGAAATTAAACAAGAAATTGAAAAAATATCTACAATTCAATGAAAATTCAAGCACAATTTATCCGAATTTATGCATATGATGAAAACAGTTCTCAGACAGAAATTTATAGCGGTGAACTCACACATTAGGAAAACAGAACAGGAATAATAAACACCCTAATGATGAACCTCCAACATCTAGAAAAAGAAAAGCAAATCAAACAGAAAGCCCAAAGATGGGAAGAAACCGTAAAGATTAGAGTAGAAATTAATTCAATCGAGATGAAGAAAATAGTTCAAAGAATTAATGAAAAGATGGTTCTCTGAAAGATAAAAGAAAATTGATAAGCCCTAACTAACCTCCTCAAAAAGAGAAAAGAAAATATTCAAATACAAGCAATAAAGAATGAAAAGGGCATAATTACAGAGATGCAGTGGAAATTCACAAGATTATCAGTAGCTACTTTGAGAATCTTTACTCTCACAGAATAGAAGATACAGATGAAATAGAAAGATTACTAGAAAGGTACAAATTACCAAAACTGAATCAAGAAGATTTAACAACTCTCAGTAATCTAATGACAACCACTGAAATATGAAATGTAATTAAAAACCCTATGTACAAAAAAGTCCAGGTCTGGATGGATTCACACCTGAATTATACAAGAAATTTACGGAAGATATAATCCCTATACTACTCCAAATGTTCAATGAAATTGAAGAGGAAGCAATCCTCCCAAAATCATTCCTGAGGGAAGTATTATACTGATACCAAAACCAGGGAAGACATTAAGAGAGAGAACTACAGGCCAATCTCCATTGTGAACACTGATGCAAAAATTCTCAATAAAATACTAGCAAATAGAATACAGCAAATCATCAAGAAGATTATAGACCATGACCAGGTAGGATTCATCCCAGGGATGCAAGGATGGTTCAATATTCGCAAATCTATGAATTTAATGCATTATATCAATAGAGCTAAAACTAAAAACCACATGATTATCTCAATTGTTACAGAAAAATCTTTTTACAAAGTCCAACACTCATTCATGTTCAAAGTCCTACAGAAAATAGGAATAGATGGCCTCTACTGCAATCTGAAAAAAACCATCTATGACAACCCATGGAAAATGTAACTTTGAATGGGGAAAAACTTTAATCTTTTAATGTCAGATCTGGGACAACACAAGTATGCCCTCTAACAACATTCCTATTCGATATAGTTCTGGAATCATGAGCTACAGCCATTAGACAAGAGAGAGAAATAAAAAGAATAAGAATAGATAAAGAAGAGGTTAAATTAACATTATTTGCAGATGACATGATACTTTACTTGGAAGACCCAAAAACTCCACCAACAAGCTAAAGAATTGCTACACAAGTTCATTAGCATATCAGGATACAAACTCAATACCCAAAAGTCGACAGCATTCCTTGACACAGATAACAAACACAGTGAGAGGGAAATTAGAGAAACAATACATTTTACAATAGCACTGCAGTAAATGAAATACCTTGGAATTATTCTAACTAAAGAAGTCAAAGATCTTTTCAAGGAAAATTACAGTACTCTTCAAAAAATGAGATCATAGAGTAATTCAGAAAATGGAAAGATATTTTCTGCTTCTGGATAGGAAGAACCAACATTGTGAAGATGGCCATACTACCAAATATGCTGTACAGATTTAATGCAATCCTTATCAAACAACTGTCAGTATACATCATGAATGTAGTGAAATCCTTCCTAACATTTATTTGGAACCGGAAAATACCTAGAATAGCAAAGTCAATCCTGGCCAACAAGACAAGGCAGGAGGCATTAAAATTCCCAACTTGAAATTACACTACAAGGCTACTGTGATAAAACCAGCATGGTACTGGTAATGAAATAGACCTGAGGATCAATGGAGTAGACTAGAAGACATAGAAGCCTCTATGAACACACTCAGCCACATTATCTTCGACAAAGGGGCTAAACATGCTACCTGAAAGAAAGATAACCTCTTTAACAATTGGTGCTGGAATAACTGGCTCTCTACATGCTGAAACCTAAAACTTGACCCGGATCTATCACCATGCACTAAGCTAAAATCAAAGTGGATTAAAGATCTAAACATTGGGGCTGGTGAGATGGCTCAGTGGTCTAAAGCACCTACTAAGAACAAGCTTAGCAAAGCACGGGGACTGCAGTTCAATCCCCCAGCACCACAAGCGAGCCAGCCCCGCCCCCTGGTGGGCTGAGCTGGCCACACACACACACACACACACACACACACACACACACACAAATAAATAAATTTATTTTTTTAAAAAAGATCTAAACATTAAAACAGAAATACTAATTCTCTGGAAGAGAAAGTAAGAGGAACTCTTGAAGACATAGGGGTAGGCAAAGAGTTCATGAATAAAAATTAAATCACACAGGTAATACCTGAAATAATTAATTATTGAGAACTCCTCTTACTGAGAAGTTTTTGCACATCAACAGAAATTACTAACAAAGTGAAAAGACAACCCTCAAATTTCGAAAAAAAACTTGACCAATCAGCACTCCAACAAAGGTCTGCTCTGTAGAATTTATAAAGAACTAAAAAATATTAGGGCCTCAAAATTTAAAGACCCAATCCAGAAATGGGCATCCAAGATGAACACACATTTTTCAGAGGATGACATTAAAGAAGCAAATAAATATATGAAAAAATGTCCCACTTCACTAGCCATCCATTAAATGCAAATTAAACAACACTGACATACCATCTCACCCCAGAATAAATGGGTATCATAAACAAATCAAGTAAGAGCAAATGTTGGAGAGGCTGTGGGGAAAAGGTATCATTCTCCACTGCTGGTGTGAATGTAGACTGGTACAACCATTGTGGAAATCAATGTGGAGACTCCTTTAAAAATATATATTGGAAATCCCATTCAAATCAGCTATCCCCCTACTGGAATATTTCCCTAAGGAACTGAAAAAGTCATATCATAGTAATAAATGTGCACCTATGGTTATATCTGCAAAATTTGTCATAGCTGAATCTTGGATACAACCAAGATACATGTCACTTGAATGGAGGAAAAAGATGTGGTATTTTTAAACAATGGAGTATGACTCAGCTATAAAGAATGATAAACTTGAAGCCCTCATATTTAAATGGATGGCTGTTGAAGATATACTCATAAGTGAATAAACCAGACTGACATATGTAAATATCGTATATACTTCCTAGTATATATGATAGTATATATGATATACTCAAAAGATGAAATAAATATAGAAAGATATAACACAATTAAAAGGAAAGCAAGAACTTGAGGATTATACAACAAAGACAGGGCAAGGAACAAAGCTAGGAAACATGACAGGGGAAAGCCATATAGCATATGTATAAGAAGGTTAAGGCAATAATCCTGAGAATTTTCAGCAGATTTTTTGCAACTAGCAGTTAATTGGTATGATTTTCTCCCTCATTAACTTTATATGCTAATACCTGTGAACTAAATAACTCTACTGAAGTTAGCAATGTGTAATAGTAAGGTCATGCTTGGAAGCCCTGTCATTTTTGTCTTCCAAATACGTACTGCTTCCCATGACATGCCAATGACTTCCATACTGTCTCTCAAGTAAATGTTTGTTTTTTAAAAAGGGTAATAAATGAAAACAATAGACAAGAAAAAAAGTGTCACAGGACTGTCCTGCTAGAATACTGTATAGGGTTAGATTTCTAAACATTTGTGTAAAAATATAGGATTATTAATTCCTATTTTTGAATTTTTTATATTTTTAAAATTTTTCTTCATATTCTGTAGGGACTTTAAGTTTAACATATCAATACTTGATGGAAAAAAAAAAACTGTTCTATGCTATGCCTAAAATGATTGATACTCAGCCACATAGTGAGATTAAGCTAAACTGCCTATGTTGTGGGGTAATAATAATAATAAACTTATCTTTTGCAGAGTTAACAACCTAAGCTTGCAGAATAAAAATTAGAGAAATAGAAGGGCTGAAGGACAGCCAACATTTTGGCCCTAGTCTTTCAAATCAGGGAAGACTCATGAC